GCTCGGGGCAGGGCACCGCCCGCCCCACAGCGGCCGCTGGAGGTTTGGGAACACACGCGCTGTGGGGCATCGTGCCGGTTTTTCCGTACAGTCAACGCGCCCAGTGAGGACGCGCGCCTTCATCCAGGATGCCCTGGCGTCCTGGCCTCTGTGGCCCGTCCTTTGCCGTTTTCACTGGCCGCCGCCGCCCAAAAAATCCGAACTTCAGCCTCCAAGGGTCTTGCGTCCTTCGGGTCGGCCGAAAGGGGGGGGTGGGAAAGGGGGGGTTACGAAATCTGCTGCATGTAGCTGGTTTCGGCCCCACCGAGGGGCCCATTCCTCGATACATGCCGCCTCCGGCGCCGGGAGGCGCCTGGAAAATCAGCTGCGTGAGCTGATTCTCAACCCCCCCCTTTGCTATCCCCCCCCTTCGCCCGGCCCGAGTCCTTACCACGCGTCCTTAATATACGTTTTGATTGTACCCACTTCGGGCGTCCAGCGGAGGGGCGCGGGCGACTCCGGCCTGGCGCGGTCGTGGGTGGGCTCCGACTCGTGGGGCGTGGGCTGGCCGCGCCGCACCGGTCCCGAGGCAGGGCGCCCGGGCCCGGGAGCAAGAAGCTCCCGGACACCTGGCCTCCTCCGCCTCCTCCTCCTCCTCCTCCTCCGCCTCCTCCTCCTCCTCCTCCTCCTCCTCCTCCTCCTCCTCCTCCTCCTCCTCCTCCTCCTCCTCGTCCTCCTCCTGAAAATCACGCCCGGGAGCAAGAAGCTCCCGGACATGATCGCGGCTGGAGGCGTCGCCATGTTTTTCGGGGGCGGGAAAGAGGGGGGTGATGACTAGGGGGGGTGAATATCATGGGGTGGGCCATGATATTTCCCCAGATTTCATGGCGCCTCTTCTCATTGCATCACGTCCCTGGCCCCAGCGCGCTGGGCCGCGCACATGCCGCCGGTCACGATTTGCACCCCCCCCTCTTGGACACCCCCCTCTTGGCCGCCACCGAGTGTGGGGGCATCTGGGGGCCCGCGCCGGGCCCTTGGACCGTCAGCGAACGGCCAGGGATGCAAGCCTGGCCCTGGGGAGAGGGTCTGGCCTTCCTTTCAGGGACCCGCAGGGAAGGAAGTCAAGGCGTCGCACGTCCGGGATGCCGATGCCGCTGCCCGCCCTTCGTCGCCACGGCTGGACGCGCCCCGAAATCCGTGTCCGTGCACACCCATGGAGAGGTCCGTGGGCCAGCAGCATCGGTGCCTCCCTGTGCCCCCCGGGATCGGTGTGCAATGCGCACCCCGTGGCAGGCCAGGGAGGCGCACGCCCCAGTCACGATCCTGGGCCCGGGATCGGCCGGGCCAGGACTGGTGATGTGGTCGGCTGACGTCCCCCGATCTGACTCGTGGGGCGTCGGCTGGCGGATCCGCCGGTTGTGTCCAGGGAAAGCCCTGGCGCAGGATCCGTGTGCACAGTGGATCGGCCACGCGCAGGCAGGGGTATAGGGCAGGGGGGAAGGCTTCTTAGAAACACCCCTGCTTATTAGCGGGCGCGGGCCTTGTCTGTAGATGCAAGGCCGGCGCCCTCTAAGAAGCGACCTCTTTCTAAGGAGCCTTCCCCCCTCCCCCTACCGCATTCCTCCTCCTCCTCCTCCTCCTCCTCCTCCTCCTCCTTCCCTCCCCCTATCCCCTTCTGCGCGCCGCCAAGTGGAGACGCTGGAGGGAGGGCAGCTGACGGGCTCAGGAGGGGCCCTGGTTCCAGCTCGTGGCCGCGGCTGGTCGTGGCCAATAAAAACCCTCCGTGCTCTGCTCGGCGTTCCTCCTGCTCGTTCGAAGACTGAGATACGGACCCATCGGTCGTCGCAAGTAGTCAGAGCCCCGAATCATCAGGGGTAACTCTCAGGGATAACTCGGGTTCGTTTTTCGGGAATCCAAGCCCGAGTTACCCCGGACCTGAGTTACCCGGATAACTCGGGCGTCCAGAGCCCCGAATCATCAGGGGTAACTCGGGTCAGGGATAACTCGGGTTCGTTTTTGGGGAATCCAAACCCGAGTTACCCCGGACCCGAGTTACCCCGGATAACTCGGGCGCCCAAAGTAGGGGTTTTTGGACTCCCGGATTCCAATCTACTTTCAGCGCCTTCCTGGTTCCATGATCCAGTGGCTTCACCTTGTCCGTCCTCCCAAGGGGGCGGACGGAGCCCAATGCACTCTCAACGCCTTCCTACACTCCATGTTTCTACCTACTTCTTCCGACCGATGGGTACCCCTGGGCAGGCCAGGGAGGCGCATACACCCACCCTGGGCCCAGCACCGGCTGGGCCAGGACGAGTTGTTTTGTGAGATGTCGACCGCACGCAAGATTCGGGGTCGGGTCGGGTAATTCTTCTTTCGGGGTTAGCTCGACCTCGCGTCGACGCGCAGCGTGGGGCTGCGCTCGCATCTGAGCGCGCCAGGGTTGTGCCCCCACGGGCGCCCCTAAAGCTGCTCACCAAGAGTCACTCCAGTCTGGTGTCACTCTTGCGCGCAGCCGAATGTGGTCGTGGTCCGTTGATCTCGCGCGGGGGTCCCTGGGCCCCCCGATCTGGGGCGGACTGGGTGGACGGACTGGGCGGAGTGCCTGGTGAAGCTCCCTCCCCAGACATCCGCCTGCTGCACTTTGCTCGATGGGTGGGCCTCGGAGATCTGTACCGCTTCCCCGGGGCTCGTGTCTCGTCCCGCGTAGTCTTGTTGACGGCCCCGAGGCCCAGCGAGGGCCCGTGGAGGCCGGAAGCGGCCAGGAAGCGCCGCTCCGATCTTCGTCGGAGCGTCGGTTCTTTGGGACGCCAGTCCGGGGCCGCTCCTGCGCCCCTGCAGAAGGCGGTCGCGGTCGGTTGACGCCCCCCGATCTGACTGGGGCGGGGGTGGCGCCTCGCTCGCTGGGGGTGTGCTCTCGGGCTCCGATGGTCAGGCGGGGGAGGCCGGCGACGCCCAGGAGCTCGTCGGTGACCGGGGAGCCTCGAGACGGGGGTCAAAGGAAGCGGGGGCCAGCCAGAGCGCGGGATCTTGCAGGATCCTGCAGAGCCAGGGGTGCACTGACCCTGGACCAGCTGGCCCTGGGCTAGCGCACAGGATCCTCCAAAGCCCGACCGAGCCAGGCTTGGATCGACCCGAGTCAATGCGTCCCCGAGGTGAGCTGGTGGCGCAGATGCTCGCCTCGGGCTCCATTCGAGGGATAAAGGATTGGACAAACATATGCTTCAGGAGCTCCGCGTGAATTTCTTGCATCGGCGCTGAGCCCCCCCGGCGGCGCCTCTGTCGCCGCCCCTGGCGTGCGGGGCCCAGCGCCGATCCAAGACATCCGCGCTGGCCTCCAAACAAATCTGTTTGTGCAGTCTGTTGCCCCTCGATCCATGGCCGTGGTGGGCATCTTCAGAGCGGCCCGCGGCCTGCACCTGCGCGAGGCGCTGCCAAGGCTGGAGGCGAAGCTGCCCCCAGATATCCTGGCCCTGGCTCACGCGAGCGCCAACGGGACGAGGGCCGAGGGGCAGTTCAGCGAGGCTGCCCTGGCGAAGGCGCGGGCGTACATGAACAAGATGATGTACGATTCGTGGGAGGAGCTCGACGCCGTCATGATAGGGTGCAAAGAGTTCGAGGAGTCGAATCGCAACACTTTCAGCCAGGTCGTGACCGACCTCGACCACATCGGCTCCGACCTGGCGGACCGCGAGCGCATGAAGGTCGAGGCAGAGGGTGGCATCGCAGACATGTCGCTTCGGATCAAGGAGACGGCCGAGCTGCGGGACAGCCTGAAGAGGTCATACGAGTCCACCAGGGCCCAGAACGCGTACGAGCTGCGCCTCAGGGAGGGCGACCAGGCCGTCTTCGACGCGGTCCTGAACATGACCAGGTGCCCGGGCGAAGAGGGCGGCGGCTACGACCTCGTCCAGTGGCAGGTGTGCAACGCTTCGGGGGGCGCGTCCCTGCGCACGGGCGATCCGGAGATCGCGGCCAGGCTGAGTTCGGGAGCCTCGAGACGGGGGTCAATGCGAACGGGGGTCAGTCAGAGAGCTGGATCCTGCAGGATCCTGCCGAGCCAGGGGTGCACTGTTCGGGATTTGCGCGCAGGATCCTGCAGGCTTTTGCAGGGGTCTTCTAAAGCCCGACTGACCTTGATTTGGCTTGACCCGGGTCAGTAGATTCCTGATGAGTTAGATGGTAAATCAGGGAAGCGTTTGCTCGTCTTGGATTGAACGCATGTCCGCGAACATCGCCCATGATCGCCGAATGGCGCTCCAACAGCGCCCAATAGCGACCAATCGGGACAAATAGCGCCCCATGGCGCCGCGCGGGCTAGTTGCAGCACGTCCGCCTCGAGCGCGAGGGGGCGCGCTTCTGGGCGCCACGGGGACGACCAAACGCTTGCGCTGGGCATCGCTCGGACGTGTGCATTTTTCCTTCGGCGAGGACCATCGAGGAGCATCCTTGATCATTTGGCGAAAAAACCACGCACGAAACCAACAAAAAACACAGGGAATGGACGTCCGAGCGATGGCGAGTGCACGAGCTGCTCCCTAAAGGCTGAAGACGGCGCCCCGTGTCGAGCGTGCGCTGCTGGACGCCCTCGGCGCTGGCCCCGCCCAGGATGCCGCCGCGGCGGCCGCCCTGCTCCAGGACCACCTGGGCGGCTGGCATCGCTCGGACGTGTGCATTTTTCTTTCGGCGAGGACCATCGAGGAGCATCCTTGATCATTTGACGAAAAACCACGCACGATACCGCAAAAAACAAAAGGGAAATGCACGTCCGAGCGATGCCCAGGGGCGGCTCGTGTGCACTGCACCGCGCTGGCGTCTCCCGCGGCTTCGTCGGCCCTCGGCCCAAGAACGGCACCGTGCACAGCTTGTTTCAGCGCCGAGGGAGAGCCGAACAGTCACGCTGCAGTCGAGTCCCGTCACCGTGCTTGGTTTCGGCGAGCTCTCCCGTTCCGAACGGCCCTGTGGGATGATCTTGGGACGCTGTGCAGCGTACCACGTTGGATCGGGGCCTGAAGTCACAGGCGATGCTTCGCCCCCAGTCCCCGAGTTGCCCAAAAGTGAGGCCGCTCAGGCGAGGGGGGAGAGTCGGGGATTCGGGAGGCTGTCCAGGCCCCCCGATCAAGGAGGGACGCCCCCCCTTTCGGACATCCTGGAGTTGGGCCCAGACTTCTGGGTCCCGACGGACACCTCCCCGAGTCGGGGCTCGGGATCACCAGGCCCCTCGTCACGAAGGGAGTCCGAACACATGGTGCGGTGCATGGGCGTCGCCGTTCTCGCTCCAGGAGCGCTTGGGCGGCGCTGGCGGCCGCCAGGCGCCGCCGCCGGCCCCCGTGCCGAGGGGCCCCGCCTCGGAGGCGCAGTGGAAGAAGTGCAGGTCAGAGGAGGCAAAGCCCGCCCAGGAGCTCTGAGGAGGAACACGCAGGTGCCAGACATGCTCGCGCCGTGGAACAGGCAAGTCACGGCGGGAGGTTGTCTGCTGTTTCCGGCATCTCTGGGCGCCCTCGCGGGACCCCAGGACCGTCAACCGAGCGACTCGCGATGAAACACCGGCCCTTGGGAAAGGGTCGGTCTGTACCGCGCACTGAAAAAATCAGAACACCACATGTCTGGGATACCGATGCCGTGGCCTCGGCCGCCTTCGCCGTGAAAGCATGGTCAGAACGCAGCCCCGGTCAGAGGTTCGAGTCGTGGTCTCGGTACCCTCTTGTGCCCCCGGCAGGGCGCCCCTGTCGGTGGACTGCGGCTTCCTCCACGACACCATGGCGCTGCAGTGGGGCAGGTTCCCGGGGAGGAGAATCCTGGAGGCCTCGCGCGGCGCGCAGTGGTTGCACGATCGAGTCCCCATGTCCGCCCCGGCAGAGCTGGGACGACGGTCGCGCGCCGATGTTCCGATGGAAGTCCGATGTGAAGCCCACAGAATCCGACCCAAATCCGACATGAATCCGACGTGCATCCAGCGTTGATTGGGTCTCAAGGTTCAAGAGGGAAAGAAACACACAGACACAATTAATCGGCGATTCCCCAGAAAATATGGGAAAATATGGGAAGTGGGGGGGAAGACAAAAACCCAGAAAATATGGGGAGTCATTTTATTTGTGTGTATTTATTTGTGTGTCCCAGGGCCCCTTCAAAGGTTTCAAGTTGCCGCGTGAGGCCTTCATGATTTTCTTCGTAAGGTTCCGGGACCTCGTGGACGAGCTCACCACCGAGATGGAGCGCAGCAGTGACGCGTTCGTACGGGAGCGGGACAACCTGAACGAGCAGATCACGACCTTCAGGGCCAGCAAGACGAAGCACCAGGAAATGTTGGGGGAGGCCGTCTCGGAGATGAACTCGCTGTCCGCGGAGTCGCGCGAGAAGGAGCAGCAGCATCGCGACCTGGAGGCGAGCTACAAGAAGAAGATGAAGGAGTGCCACGATCACGTCACAGAGATCCTTTTCACGAACATATGCTCTGTTCGCGTCGTGCGGAACAAACTCATGGAGTACAGCCAGGAGACACCGCCCGAGAAAATCAAGGATTGCGACTTCACCGACTTGAGTCCCAGGATGTGCTCCGTCGATTGCGACGACAGCTGCCCCGCAGACGTCGGCGGTGCCAACGGCCAGTCCTGCGGCGGCACGCAGGACCTCGTGAGGGAGCTCCTGGTCTCGCCCAGCCCGGTCGGCATGCCTTGCCCACCGCTCTCCAGGGCGAAGAGGTGCAACCAGCACAGGTGCCCGGTGGCGTGCTCGATGTCCCAGTGGAGCGGCTACTCGGGCTGCTCCAAGGAGTGCGGCGGAGGCACCCAGGGCAGGACGCGCGCCATCCTCGTCAAGCCGATGAACGGCGGGAACGAGTGCGACACGACCATGGAGGAGAGGTCCTGCAACACCGGGTCGTGCGACCGGGACTGCACGCTCTTCGAGTGGACGGCCTGGGAGCCGTGCTCCATTCGGGGGCCACATGCGAACCCTACCCTTGCCCCCCACGATTTCTGAGGGGGAGGGTGGGGCTCACTTTGTTAGAGAGCTCCCGAGCGAAGTGAACCCCACCCTCCCACTCAAAAATCGTGGGGGGTACAGTCGGGGCCCTGAAGAAGGAACCCTTTTCGTTGGGGAGGGGCTCCGCGTTCCTTAAGTGTTTCACAGCTTGCCTCAGGCTTTCCTTCTGTTTTCGACCGAAAATCGAAGGCTAACTTATGGAAAAAAGGGGCCTCGTTCCTTATTTGGGGTTCCTTAGGTCAACGCCCCGACTGTAGGGTTCGCCTGTGGCCCCCTATCCGTGGCCTGCGGCGGCGGCCTGCAGAGGCGCGCGCGGCGCGTCGACCTCCCGGTCCGCGGCGGCGGGAAGTGCCCCGGGCCCCAGCACGCGGACCGGCTGCAGCTGCAGGAGTCAGGAGGAAGAGAAACGCACAGACACAATGGATCGTCGATTCCCCCGGAAATATAGGAAGATATGGGAAGTGGGGGGGAGGACAGAAGCCCAGAAGATATGGGACAATAGGGGGAATAGTTTTATCTGTGTGTACTTATTTGTCCTTGGGCCCCTTCAAGGAGTGCAACACCCAGAAGTGCGTCGGCGACGAGGTCTGCATCGCGCGCCAGGACCTCGTGGTCGCCCTCGACGGCAGCGGCTCCCTGAAGAAGAAGGGCTTCGAGGTCTTGCGGTATTTCGCGCGGAACTTGACCTCCAGGTACCGGTCGGTGTACTATGGCCAGGAGCAGATGAGAGTTGGGGTTGTCCTGTTCGGCAACGGTTTCTTGCACGAGGGGGGCTACGTGAGCGAAGCGATTCAGGCCCACCCCCTGTCGAGTGACATAGCGTCGGTGACGCGGACCATCGAGGGGCTTCAGTGGCAACGTGGGTTCACAAACATGATGCAGGCGTTCAAGTTGGCCGACAATATGCTCGAAGCCGAAGGCCGCAGCGATGCGCACAGCGCAATCCTGGTGTTGTCAGACGGCAAATACACCAACGCTTTCCGAACGAGCCAGAAGGTCCAGAACTTGAAGGACAAGGGCATTCAGATCTTCATGGCCCCTGTGGCCGCCTTTGAGAGCCAAAGCCTGGATCAAATCAGGAACTGGGCCAGCTCGCCCTGGGAGGCGAACTACGAGCGTATCCCGGGCGTCAAGGCGCTGGAGAACAACGAGGATGCGTTCGCGCAACAGTTGCTAGTGAAGTTCTGTCCGCGGGCCTTCTCGCCGTCCCTCGAGGCGGCCACCGACGCGCAGGTCGGCTTCCTGAAAGTCCGCGAGGAGGGGTACCCGACGCAGGAGTGTGGCAGGTGGCGCAATCTGGGCCAGAAAGAGACGCTCGAGGAGTGCTTCCGGGCAGTGAAGGAGCTGCAGATGCTGGCGTTTGCGTATGAGGAGAGCGGCCACTCGGCAGGCACCTGCTACTCGGAGGCAGTACACGTCACGCGGGAGATCTGGGACCACGCCCTGGCGAACCGAACGTCCCTGCCCTGTCCGTCTTTTGAGTGGCAGGCAACTCCTGCGCTGACGAGCGAGCGGCCAGGTGGCGGCTGGGAATACGCGCGCTACGCGAGCACGTACATCATCAACCCTGCGGTCCACGAGTACATGTCTTTGGAGTCCGACAAGGATGAGTAGGCGTGACGCTTCTGCGGGGAGGTGGTGTCATCCAAACAACATCCTCATCCATCTCCTCCCTTTCCTCCTCCTTCTCCTCCTCCTCCCCCTTCTCCTCCTCCTCCGTCCGTGCACTCATCCATCCAATCCTTCTTCGTACTCCCGCACCCCTTTATCCCATATCCCTCTTTCCTCATCTCTCCTGCCTCTCGTCCCTCGTCCTTTCTCTTCGCCTCTTCTCTCCTCTCTCCCTTTTGCCTCCTCCCAACCACCCTCCCTCTTCTTCCCTCCTGCCCAGTTCCCACTCCTGCCCCTGCCACATTCTGCCTTCTGCCCCTTCCTCCCCCCTTCCCATTATGTTCTTCACCCTCCACCCCCTTCAACCCCTTCGGATCCACGATCCCCAATCAACCAATCAACACCCTCAAACACGCCAGAACATTGAGCCGTGCAAGGCAGGAAATCCGCCAGCGTGCTTTCAGCGCGTAGTGGAGTGCCCCAAGGCTCATGCAGTTCCCAGAGGTGGATGCAACATTTGTCAGTTCTGAACGGTCTAGACCGCGAAGTTCTTAGAATTCTTAGGCGTTCTTGGAGTTTCACGCGTGGGCCTCTAAGACGGTGACCCCGCCCAAGACGACCCCAGCAACCCGCCAGGTTTGTTTGAGAAGGCTCTCAGAGACAGCCCCCGAGACGGCCAAAGAGCGCTTCAGAAATCCCAAGATGGTCTCAATGCGGCCCAGGAGGCCCCCAAGCAGCCGCAATACTGGGCCAAGAGTCTCCCCAAGAGTGCCCAGAGATGCCAAACGCGTTGATTTCCCATACGTGTGATGTTTTTAATGTTCTCGCTGATTCCCGTTGTCGACGTTCCAAGACGGGCTAAGAGGCCTCACGATCGTCCCCTATACGGCCCAAGGGGCCCCCAGAAGCGTTCCCAGACGGCCCAAGGGGGGCCAACGGCCCACGAGGCCCCCAAAACCGGCCCCAAGGCGGACCCAAGGCCTAGCAATGAGCGAAAGAAAGAAATGCGGACCCAAGAGTCCCCGAAGTACTCTCAAAACCGTCCACAGGGGCTTCCGAGAGGCTTCGGGAGATTCCAATTCCCGCTCCAAGAGATCCTAAATCCCCACAGACATCCAAGAGGCCTCTGACTCACAACCTAGGCACGGTGACGGGAGGGGCCGCTACTGGACATCCAGCGCGCCCTGTGTTCATCACAGGGGCGCATGGCGTGCTAAGATTTTTGATGTTCAGAGCACGTTTTCATGGTTCCCAGTGGCCTTCGTCTTGACCTGCCGCCCCAACGGAGGAACCACGGCGACCCTCGTCCCGTCGGCTCAGAACAAGCTCTGCACTGGAGAGCTCAGAAACAGTTTGCACTTGAGACATCCTCACACAGTGGAGATGATGGTCTCCAAGACGGCCAAGATTGCCCAGGATGGCCTCTAATTTGGTCCCAGGACGCCTCCAAGGCGGCCGATATGGCCGCAAGACGGCCCAACATGCCCTCTATACGGCCGAAACGGCCCCTAAGACGCCCTCAGAGGGCTCCAAGAGGACCTCCGCGAAGCCCACATCATTGCTTTCCCTTAGGTTGCTCAATGATGTTAGCGGGCTCTCCTTGCCGGCCTTCCGACACTCCAAGACGGCCCCCCTGGGCCCGAAGATAGTCCCAAGACGGGCCAAGAGGCCCCCCAGAGGCTTCCAAGACGGCCCCGCAGACAAGTTTAGACCCCCAAGACGGCCCAACGGCGCCCAAACAGGGACCACGACTGCCCAAACAAGCCCCCAAGGCAGCCTCGGAAGGCGAAGAGGTCCCTCAGAGACCCCTGAAGGCCCCCACGAGGTCCCAGGAGGCCCCCAAGAAGCCCCTCAGAGGCGCCCAAGAGGCTTCCAGGAACAGGAACCCCCAAGACGGCCTCAATAGGCATCCTTTTCCTGTTCCTCCTCCTCGTCCTCCTTTTCCTTCCTCTCGTTTTCCTTTCTCTTTCTCTCCCAGGTGTTCCCCCAAAGGGTTTCATACAGTCTGGGGGATCACATAGTCCAATAGGTTGGCCAGGCGTTTGTCCAAAGTCTGGCCGCATGGGCGTTTCCAAAAGGCCGGGGGCGGCGGTGGTTCGCCGTCAGCATCTTCGGTACAGTTGATGTCCCCTCTTCATTGTTGTCGAAGTGCACATTGTCGGGCGTGGTCCTTTTGGTCTTGGGGGTGAAAGCCTTTCGCTGTGGTTGCGGAAAGCGTTGGAGGAGGTTGTGGAACATGTGTCGGGGAAGTTGTTAGCATCGGACCCTTCTTGGCTTCTTGGGTCTCACTTGGGCAGCGAGGCCTCGTTGGCGTTCGGTCCATGCTGGCGAACGCGGTCGATGCCGGCATGGCCATGTTGCAGTGCGCCCTGAGCAACGAGGCAGGCATGGCTGTATTCTATGGCTGCAAGGCGGCGCCCCCAAGTGTCGCACACGGGTTTCTAAGAGAAGCCCTTGCCGTAGCTGGTCTCTTTCTCATGCTACAAGGTCTAAGCAATGAATTCTGAGTGGACGTTGAAATTCTCGGCGGGAGCGGAGAGCCCGGAGAGACGCGAGGAAACCTCGTGAAAATCGCAGCGGAAATGTAAATTGCCCGTGCTTCCCAACGATCGTGCGCATCGTCTAGTGTCGCCGGCCTTCCCATGTGATCTCAACGCGTGCACAGTGTATATGAAAAAAACAACTTCCTCACTCTCCCCCTCCTCGGCCTGGTCCTTCTCCTCGTTCAAGAGTTGCTGATGTTCGTTGAACTTTACGGGGAAGAAGGCGCCATAACCTTGACTCAGGCATGGGTGCGCAAACCTTAGTTATGTTACAATCTCTGGAAAGCACAGCCCTTGCATGACTACGTCTTCTCGGCGGCAGAGTTGTGTGCGCGGGGGCCCCCTCCCGCTTTTGTGACCTTGATTGAGCGCCTGCCACCGGGCCGGACGAGGTCGCAGGCAGTTGCGTTGCGAGACTTTCGCGCTGCCTGTTGTTGATACCCGGCGCAAGCGGCAGGCAGCTCGACTTCAAGACCTTGCAGTTTATCCTTCCCTCAGTAGCCCGCCCGCAGCATATTGCCATCCATGTCGACCTGAGAAGGTGTAAATTTCGAAGTGGATTCCGGATGGATTGCGACGTGGATTTCGAACTGGATGTCGAAAGTGGATGACGTGGATTTCGGGTGGATTTCGATGTGGCTTCGAAGTGGAAATTTGGGGCCGATTTTTTGGCAACCCTCACACACTTGACCGCCATCGCAAATCCATTCGAAATCCACATCGAAATCCATATCGAATTTCACACCGAGAATCCGGCGCCGGTTGCCCCTTGCTCCGCCCTCGGCGCCGGGCGCCCCAAGGAGACCGAGCCTGGCTGGGCGCAACAGACATGGGCGGCGGCTCTCTGCGGAGGCCGCGCAAGGCCGGCGTGACTTGGCGGCCGTCCCAGGTGAACAAAGGGTCACCGCGCCATGCCTTTCGGCGCATCAGCCCGCGCGGCGGTGCATGCCTCTGAATGCCGCGCGGACGCCTGGGGTTGCGAGACTTCCGTCCGTGGTCGAAGGTGTCTTCCATGCGCGGGGGCACCGCTCGCAAGTGGCCGAATGCCACTGCGTGCTGCGTTCTGGCGCTTCCGCACGCGCGGGGTCGAATGCCTCAAAGTGCCAGGCTGGCCTCTGGATGAGCGGGGTATCCCACGCTTGTCACGATTTCGCAGCAGGTGCGGGGACGCCGTTCGAAGGTGGGTCGGGTTTCCCGGAGGTCGCGGGTAATCCAGCTGGCGCAAGGCGCAGCCATGCCCTTTGCCGCGTGTGGACCGTTTCCATCGCCAGTGGTGCGTCCTCACGCGAGCGGGGCCATTCGTGAGATATGCCGCCCGTGGCGGCGACGCACAATACCTGGGTGGCGCGCCCGCGCGCGTCCGCGTCTTCATGGCGCGCGCACTCAGACAGACGAGATGTTTCATTTTCCATGACACAAGAAATATCCTCGCAGTGTTCGCCGTGCTTGCTGAGACCTGGCAATATGATCCTTTCGCTGGTGCTGAGGTTCGTCGCTGCTCGCAACCAGAAAAATCACTGCGTCATAGTGGCTGGTGGGCGCCAACGCCAACGGGTTCAATTTTTGGCTGACATTCTGCAGGGATGCCCGTTTGTCTCCGCTGTTAGTCGCCGCTGCGTTGTACGTCCTGTCCGCAGGATCACGCGACTGGTCCCAGATGCGTGCGTGCGTGCGTGCACCGATGATGTTGTCGTGGCGTTCCCTTCCAGCATTGCCCCGCTCCCCATTCTGGTGCAGATATTCGAAGAGTTATCCAGGATTTCTGGGTTGCGGCCGAACGTGCCGAAGACAGTAGCAGTGCCGTTGCACCCTTGCGATCTGTCGGCGGCGGCAGCATCGCTTGCAACAAATTTCCCACGGCGGGCACATATCCATGCGGCAGGGTTCGCCAAGTACCTGGGTTTCGCCTTCGCCCCAGACCGCGGCGCTTGACAAGTCCGTGGGGAAGTTCCTACTGTGTGATCGAGACTGGGGCGCAGCGGGAGGCGGCACTTTCATCACCACGCTCGTCTACAAGGTGTACGGACTGCCCGCGGTCATATTTTTTGCTCCAACTAGACGCGCTTCCTGACACACGGGGGCCATCCGAGGAGGTTGCCGTCGCTCCCTCTTTCCAGCCCTGGTACCTGATTCATTTCTCAGGACCTCCACAACTTACATCACGTAGGGTTCCCGCTGTCGCTCCCCGACGTTGCCTAGCTTTCCTTGGCGATTTTTGTCTGGCAGGCGCACTGCGAGGCCGCTGCCGAGGTGGGCTTAGCAGTTCGGGTGAGGCCGTTGCAGCTGCGGCAGTCGATACTTGACACGGAACATGTTGATCGATTGGCAGCGTGACCCTCTTGGTTCCAACGGGCATTTCCATTTCAGTTGGACGAATCCGCATCGCAGCGCGAGAGGCTCGGGGCACGACCAGAGGATGTGGAAAACCAGATAGCGCCAGACGAGCCACGTCCCCACCAG